TAGGTTCTCTGATAGGCCAGCAATAGGACCAATGTTCCGATATTGGCCCAATAATGTGAATATATCATATTTATTAAGATAAATTTATCATCAATTTTAATAATACGAATATTACGTATTTAATGATATAAGTTGTAATATAGAAACTAACATATTTGGTTGAGGGATTTCGAAAAGTAGTGAACTACAACCCCAAAAATTCTTTTCTTTTTTGTATTATTTTTTTTATTTCAATTTTTGGCTGACCAAAAAAATATAAATATTTCATGTTTAATAATAATAATATTATTCGTAAAGCTCTGTAGGAGTTTTTTGTAGAGTCTATGGCACTATGAGTTCCGTGAGTAAAACAAGGTGATATACAATGAACCACTATAAAATGATGATATCTTTGTGAAGAATCTTTACAGAAAATTAGCGTAATTTTACTTACAAGTGAATACAATGTACCTTAAAGTACTAATCACTGTCATTAAAAGTTATAGAACTGAAAAACAATATATGGCTATGGTGGGAATCAACCCAGATCCGGTCAACACAGATTTATCTTTTATTTTCCACGATTTTCAAGAACGAAGCTTGAATACTGTTGGGTTATGCTGGTCTGATTAAGAAGAATATTCATTCTCTCTCCGTGCCTGTAATTCTTAGACACTAACAGATTAAGTCACTAACATAATCGAAGCAAAGTAACTTAATTTGTTTTTATCTTATCTCTCTTGTTCTATCTCTTTGTATAGTGCTTCTATTTCCGGGTTTGGATATAACAGTCCGCCAATTGAGTGCACTTTGTCATACTACTCTTCTGAAAAACAAAAACATTCCTTGACCTACTGCTCATATATGATCTTCATTGCTCGAAAAGTGGGGATGCGGATTGTGCTTAAAGCCGCTCAAAGGCTCAAAATCCTACGTAATGAGTTATGGCATTTAATTTTATTTTCTTATAGATATTATCACGAGTGCATTATGTTTATTTCACTGTAAAATTCAATATCTTAAAACAAAAAATATCCATAATGTATGTATGTAGAAAAATTGCCTAACCTTTCTCCTTAAAACTTAAAGCAATACAAATCTCTACTTTAACCCAAAAATATTATCCATAAGTACAGCTAACTTAACAATTCAATATATTCTGACTTAGATGTAAATATATTTCACCT